CTTTTCCTTGTATGTTCTTAGTATGCAACAAGTCACACAAATTCAGAACTAATGTTTCATTATCCTACTGAAGACTTCTATCGTATCTTCCTGTTTGTCAAATTGCCCAAGAAAAATAGTTTCTTTAATTATACGATTGATAAGGAAACGTGGACTTTTTTCTTTTTTAGTAAATTAGTTCCCTCAAATGTCTATCACCAGAAATAGAAATTGTTCTAGATTAGATAAAACGGTGAAACTATTAATGCACATATTTCCCAGTCGAAAATTATGCATAAAATTTCTGAAGCCAGTAACAAGAGACATAATTTCACTTACAAATTAGATTAGAACTTACTTTTCCTATTGTAAATAAGTTGAAAATAAATCAGAGAATCTTAAATAACATCCCAGTCCTTTTAATATCTAATAGCACGAATGATTATCAAAACTCTCGCTCCTAATTAATTTACAACTGCCCGTGTCGTCCTAATAATATCCTTAGGAACTTTCGTTTTCAATTCTTCTTCTTTGCTTTCATCTCCAAATATCGTCTGACAAGGCAGACGACAATGCACAAAACAGTGGACAAAAAGGACTTGTTATTCCAGTTCCTTCAGGTTCTTTTAAACCATCAATAGTTAACTTCCCATGGTACTTCCATCGTCAAGGTTCACAAAAATCGTAAAACGAGATGTATCGATATATACAAAGACGTAACTGAACCTCGACGAAAGGACAAAACTTAATTCGGTAATTGTGAATCACAAATCGAAGAATTTTTATTCAATTTGTGATTCTCGTTAAAAGACACACACTCAAAATTGACGTGTACGATTCGAAAACCCGAATTTACAGACGTAAACGCGTTAAACTGAACTGGTTTTCGGTAAAGGTTTCAGCTTCAACTCTCGTCGTTGCTCGTGATAGTCTTGGAAACAGGGAACGATGCAGAGGTTGGCTTGACATTCCGGACAATGATACTTCGTTTTCCTTCGAAGTGTCCTCCCGTGGGCGTCTATCGTGTTCCAGCAGTGCTTGCAACCCAGAGCTGGCCCTGGCCGTAACACTGGACAGTGACCGAATCGTAGGTCACCTGTATTCTCTCGAGATTCCCTGCCCGTCGTCTGTAACAAATTTATACTTTTTTATCAATTAATTTCATAATTGCTCTAACATTTTGTCTATAGACATCTGCCAATGAAAATCATCCCCTTGGAACATGTAAATGAAGAATTTCTATTTGAACTAAAATTCTTCTCACTTAAGCCATAAATCATACATATACGTTGTTCCAAGGAGGTCCAATTTTTCAATAACTCAATACATTAATATGACAATGATAGAATAAAATAAATACAAATAAATAGACATTACAAATCTTCAACTAAAAGTAACCAAAGTATCTTCTCAGAAAATACTTCGTAGTACAAATAAAATATTTTTCTTGAAACTATCTATACAAGTCCTCTTCGTTTAATAAGCCATGGTTTTACCAAACCGTTTCTCCCTAAACGTCGCAACCTTAGGATAGGTCTCGAACGATCAACATATATCGTTAATATTTCAAGCTTCTCAACTGAGAGGATCGATACATGTCGTCAATACAATATCGTCAATATTTATTGATAAACTACATTTTCGTCGAGAATCTTGAAATATCAACAATATCATTGATCGTCTGTACACTCTAACGTTTAAATCCCAATGCTATCACCTAACAACTGAACTGCGAATGTTTATGCTTCATAGCTTTATAAGCACAACTAAGGAAATCCAACTTACAGAGAAATTTGTTCCGCTCGCTAAGCAACGTATCAAGTACGTATTCTACTTTGAACAATCTATATGTGCGCGCTTTTAAATCCTTCGTAAGTGCATAAACATCCGCATTCTACTATTAAATATACCATACTTGTGGAGATGAGGAACTCCGCCTAAGTTCCGTGGTTTTCACCCTCAAGCCAGATGATGTGGACCCTGCGGTAGTCTCCGTAGTAGTTGTAGCGATAGTTGGTTCCTCTTTGATTTCCTCTTCCGTTTTAACAACAGGCGCCGGTTCCACAACGATCGATGGACTGGTGGTCCTCCTGGGGAACTCTGGGTTCGAGTGTTGCCTGTGTATCCAGTAATTCCCACTGCTGGATTGTTGCTGACTAGACAAGAGCGGATGAGAGTGTTGCTTCATCAAATAGGATGGCTGAGGCACGGTCAACAGGTTCGTCGAGGTGGTCACCGTCAACAGACTAGGCTGGTTCACCAGAATCGGTTGCGGTGGCGACGAGATTCTCGTTTCCTCCCAGCTCCTCGACGTCTGTGGCAGGTTCAACGTCGGCGCCGTCATATAGATAGAAGACGAGACGATATGAGGTGAAGACGTCTCGCTGTCTGGCGACAAATGATTCGATTCCTTCTTCACCCGGGGCTGACGCAACAGACGACACCTCTTCGGGCCTACCTGCTTACAGACTACTGGAACGGAAAGGGAAACGATGTTAGAAGTTGAGATCAGAGGTGACATGAATGAAAGTGGACATTTAAAACAAAGTTTCTTCAACTTTTTTTCAAAGCGTCCATGATGTTTCATACGAGGAGGAGGGGATAATTTATTAAATGCGGTAATTGTGACGATTTATTTAGTAATTAGTAATTGGCTGAGTACTATAGTTTGTCCGTCATAATTATAATTTTATTATCTAACTTCCTGCTGAGGATGGTCTAATTAAACTAAAACAGATAAGAAAGACTCGATGTTTTGTGTTTCGAATATATTTTATGAACGGTTTGATAAAACGTACCGTAATAGATATATAAAATTTTGCTGCAAATATAAAAACTAATAAATATTATTTATCGATAAAGTTGTATATAAACGATATACAAGATCATGAGAGGGATGAGAGAATTCAATGACCATGAGTGATTAAATTAATTTTGAACAAACTATAGCACTGAAACTACTGAACACTCACAATCAGGTGATAGTGGTTAAAACGTGCTCTTCGTTTATGCAAACGACAAAATTTCATTAATATGCGGGCACAGATATTTCCTGCTGAAAGAGTTAGATGGTAGTTCGTAAATAAAAAAGTTTATTTTTTATACAGGAAAATCGCTACATAAATAAAGATCAAAAAAAAAAAAAACGGATATCTTACGTGAACAGAGTCGTAAGCCTGGCCAGAAACAACTTTTAGTTCATTCTTCCTTCACGAGATTTATTAAAGGCGTTATACAATAACATTGACACATCAAAACTCGACTCTCTGCATATAAAATTCGGTACCGATTTTAAACTAGTTGCTTTTTTTTACACCTCACTTATTTATTCTGTTTTCCTTTTTCTTTTTTTTTACGAAGTATCAATGTTTAAGATAGTGTACATTACGATCAACATTTCTTTAACATTTTATATTCATCTATCGTTTTGTACAGACGTTCGGAACGAAAACAGGAAGCAGCGAAACGCGCTCGATTTTCGCTAAAAATGATTAATCGGTTATCTCGAGTAGTCAATTATTTTCTAATGAAAGAATTTCATTGAGATTTCATGTGATCGATGTAAAAATTTCGGGGGAAAATTTCGATTCCTACGTACACTTTACAATTCAACTATTTTACAATGCAATTACTTTGTGAATTGATATTTTCATTATTAGTCTAATTTATAGAAACGAAGACAGAGGAACAAAAATTCGCAAATCTTTTGCAAATCTTTCGTTATTTAGTTCATGTACGAGTTAAAAACGTGGATCTCCAACTCTATTAAATGCCAAGTACGCAAAAATGAGTGATAATACTCGTTCGTACAAATAAACAAAAAAAGTTGTGTTATGTACATTGTCGTTAAAATTCATTTGCGTCTATTTAAATGCTGAACAAGAAGATAGTATTCGTTTTAATTCTAGCGTCGTAATATAATATTTTCTCGCTTCAATGGAACACTTATACATCATTCTCTCTTCCTATTTAAACATAAAATCAGGAAAATTATTATACAATTAATTTTGTCGAGAAACTTTAATCCTTGTCTATTTTAAAAAATATCGTAAGTTTTCGTAGTAAAAGGAATTAAAAAATCGAATGTTGACATTAACTAAAATCATTTCTCCAAGAAAATTGAAAAAATTCTCGAACCATCAATGATAATTTGTCACATCGTACACATCTATTTTTCAATACATGCATTACTTTCTTGTATTCCCTTACTCTTTTCTTTTGCTCTTTAGGTTATACGTGTAATTGTACGTTAACAGATCGAGGAGTTAGTCAGGAAAACGTTTGTTCCCGCGGATATTGCACTTAATTAGCACTTATAGGCTACAACATCCTAAATCAATCGGAATTATACATGTAAATAATATACATATTGATATTAATTACATACTTAAAAAAAAAAGAAAAAAAACAGATAATTCATCAATGAAAATTGCGATAAATTTTAATGAAATTGAAAAAAATTAAATTGTACGTTTAATCCTTCGTAAATATCGAAGAACAATTCGAATACGTTAGAAAATTACCTGATTTTCGGTTAAAACGAAAGACAGTACAAGAACTTCACAGTATTTGTACTAAAGTGATCCTGCACGCTAATAATCGTGCTACTATACCCTGTAGCCTGCTGCCTCTATGTACAGGGTGTGCTATAAAATGTCTCATTCGATATATAGCAATGTTTTAATGATTACCAGACGCGATGTTCCTCCCAATTGCATGAAAGTCATCCCCACCACTGGGGGCGATAACCCTCCTTAACAGGTCCTGACATTTTCTTTGACTAAGACGACCAAGTGTAGTGTAATTTGATCCGAATTCAAAATTTCCACGAAACAATACTAATTTAACAATGGCAATTGTTAATCTCTGACTTTTTGAAAATCGAATTTTTACTAACGTATTTATAAGTTTTCTTTTGATTGAGAAAAGATATACGATATATTTAAAATCTTTTTTATATAGATATTTAATGCGCGAAAAAATATAAGTTAATGCCATTAAATAAATAAATATGTTTCAAGTTGTATCGTGTTTGATCTTATTGCAGTCAGAAAAACCTGACAATTGATAGAAGTTTTATTCATAAAAAATTAAAGATAAAAATACTTCATCGTTGCGCTAGTATTATGTAACATAAACCAATAGATATGTTCTTTTCTTTTTCTTTTCTTCTTCTGTCACTCGCATTATCGCCCTCTACATTCGACAAAACAACGCATCCGTATCTATACTTAGGATCAAGTCCCGCATATAAACGATAATTGCAGGCCGTGTCACCTGATTTTCTGGCAATTATCGTGACATTACAGTATTGCAAAAACAACGAGAATTATATTTGAATGAAATGTTACATGATATCGCAGATACAGCGGTAAACTACTTTTTCAACTGAATCACCAGGATTCACAGACATTTTCTTCGCTTCATAATTGAGTTAACCTTACAATTATGTATTTTATGAAACACCCTGTATAATAGAATTTTTTACGCGGAATAATCCGTCGAAAATTTTGAACAAATTCTTTTAAACAGTGCAACCTTCACAAAAGCTGTTATACTCGTTACAAAAAATATAAACGAGTTTAGATATTCTTTACAGATAATTATGATCCGTCAGAAAATGTATACTCATTTTCAACGATTGCAAATTATTTGTAATACATGTATTGACGACGCATTGCGTTTCACTTCTCGCTCGTAGATAAGTCGTTAATTCCGTAGGATGTATTGGCTACGTATTTTTTATATATTCTTGATCTATGTTTCACTATCGCTACTTTTATTCACTATGTACAAAAATGTCGCGACATGGTACAGGCTAAAGTTGATAGAAAGCGAAATAATTCCGACGTATCTGCGTAAGATTATTCCACCAACTTTAGATTATATCGATATTCGTGTGAAGACCGATCGTGCATCGATAAAAACATGAAATTAAAAAATCTTCAATAGTTCGCCCATAAATATCTGAAATTACAAACTAGCAAGTATATGCTTTCAGCATATGGTCGTTCCTGCGCTATCACAATCGTGTGTAATTCAAATTTCAAAAGATACGATTTAAACTAAAGGAACCTGTTCCAGAATTTGTTTTCTTTTTTCTTCACCCTTCGCCGGAACTTCCGGTGCTCGAAGGGAAAGAGTTGCCGTCGTCCACTCTGAACTCGTTCGCTCGCAATTTATTATTCTAATTGATTCCAACGAGTATCTGATGAAATTATCTATTTAGCTCTTACACGATCCTGTTTTTCCAAAACGATGACAAGATTTCCGCTTCTTTCTAGGATTGAACCAGCCAGGAAAGAAATATGTACAATCGTTAAGAATTACAAGTCAACGAGTTCCAGCGACAACATTTTCCATTATAATATACATGTATCCATCATGTAAAAAATCTGTAGTGTATAAACTATGATATACTGACGTTTTCAGTTGTTCGAGATCATTGCGTTAGTCGAAAAGCACTTTTATAGATACGTATGAACTAGGCAAAGAAAATATCTAAAACTGTATCGTTTCTCTTCATTTAACGAGAGAATACGCATTCTCTTTCGGATGAGTATTGACGATCTAAAATTCTTCCTCCACACGCTTGTTCGGTATTTAATACTTTTCAAGCTCGTCTATACAAGTGACCGTTGGTATCGGCGTGTCATAGCCAGTGGCTCACATCGCGTTGTAGTTAACGCCGTGTAAATTGATTGGCATTGTAGTGCTGGGCAATGCGTAATCCGTATGCCTGCTATCGATGTAACCACTTAACATCGTATGAGGACTATGAGTGGTTAGCATGGTATGCGTGCTGTGGGTATTGTGTGTACTGTGTGGGGTGGTGGGAGGGCCCATGGGCGTAGGACTCTGCGAATTAACCGGCTGCGCCGACGGGGCTGGCGGTGGTGAGGAATTCACTTCTTGCTTGACCCTCGATTTCAAGCTCGGTCGATTGTTTGGGTAACCACGCTTTTTGTATTCCAGCCAAAGTGTTCGATTGTTCACGCCGAACATCCTGGCTGCTTTACAGAACCCTATACCGCCGTATCGAACGGCGTCTAACGCCCTGATAAAATTCTCGTCTGCCTGCGGATTTGTCGATCGTTTCCTTTTAATTGCGGTCTGTGGACTGGCGCAAGGACTCTGGCAGTTACTCGGACACTGTGCCGACGGTGATGGGCCACTTGACGATGCGTGCTGCAATGTCCCGTGCGAGGAGTTCGGATAATTCGTCAGGGCGCAACTGGAACCAGTCGTGCTGGTACCAGAGTACTGATCGCTGATGGTCGAAGAAGCTGTTATTTCGGGCGTGGTAAAAGCTGATGACGCTTGGATCGACAGATTCGTTTGACACGAGGACAGAGCGAAACGTGGATATGTATGCTCCATAATAGTCCATTGCAATCCTGTGGAACAGACCGGTTCATACTTTGGTCAGAGCACAGGAATATTATTTCGTTAATGGCAGTATGTATGTTTTCATATTGGCGCAAAGATAAATACTAATTATAGGTGTATATTATATATATATATAATATATTATATATAATACTTATGAGACGTGTGTTGCCTTTTCAAATGGAATATTTAGAAATCGAATAGATAAGGATCTTTAATAGGCAAAAAGAAATTAAATATTCGTGTAGTATAATAAAATCGTGATTATTAAAAATGTATTGTTTACATATATATATATATAGATATAAATATATCGAAACCTGGTAGCGGTAATGTATTCGTATGATAATAACAAATAAAATAGGCAATTCGGCAATAATTGGCTCAATCGTAGTAATTAGACTATAGAATCGGAAGAAGATATCTAATTGAAATTAAATGTATTGCTTTATGCTACTATGTGTGTAAGAAAATAAAATGAAGATGCTAAGCTGTAAGCAGAAAAGAATGGAAATATATTTGTAAAAATTTGTGTGGAAATAATGGTATACATATGGGAATATTAAGAATAGAATATCGTGGCATGGCACAGATACATTTTAAAGCACATTTGTCATACATATTTTTGATATAGGAAAATGTGTCCAGCTTTTTATTACATGAATTAAAGGACAGAATAAGGCACACATACACACTCAACAATGTTTAAGGCCCGATTTTACTGTCCTCTAAAAGAACATTATACATTGTGTGCTATGTATCTGTGTACCATGATGAATTTCATGAATGAGACTAGCCTTATAGAAATTTGCACTACTAATTATGATTTTTTTTTTCCTCTCAACTTTCGCTCTATTTTCATGTCAAACGTCTGTTGATTTTCCTTGTGCAGTACATTTAAACGCATCTGTGCCAGCATATAATGTGTGTAAGTATCATTTGTTCGCATGCAATTTCGATACCCACCACGTTCGCTATAGATTTTGTTTCGCTACTAAACTACTAAGATATTTGTGCGAGAGACAGATACATCATGCATATTTAAAATTGAATTATTGCCGCTTGTGCATAAATAAAGAACAGAGTTATCAAATATATGTACATATATTTGATAAAAATTGAAACAGTATTTGAAATATAAGCAATCTTTCTTTCGGACAATCTGTAAAATCTAATTATTAATAATGGCCTTAATTTTTAAGATATATATCTTTACATGTAATTAATTAAAATAATCTATATCGTATATTCTACTTATATTGTATATACAAAAACTATTCCTAATATTTTTTTAAATTACCGCTTATGATAAACTTCAAGTATTTTTTTATTGAATATATTTGGAAGTCATAAAGTTCCTTCTTATGTTATTTTACAATATATATTATAAATATTTAAATATACAAATCTATATCAAATATCCTAAAATAATCTCGAACTAATTGCACACATTAAGGAAAGTTACTTACCCTGATGTGCGGGTGGTTGTGAAGAAACTGTACTCTGTGCAACGTTTCCTCCTGACTGTTGACTCACATCTTGTAATGAGCCATCACTTTGTGCGGGAGTTGTTGCCGAACTATTCTCCATGTTACTCATCTGAAATGAATGACAGTTTTATGTTTTAATACGTTATATAAAAATTAACTATAATATTAATATATCAATTAATAAACATAATATTTTATATTCTTTTTATATATAAATACTTTAGGAATAATAATATTTAATACATTCAATACCATGACGATCACCGGTAATCGTCACTGAGCTTTCCATTTACGTCTTCCATTTACGAAGGTCGGAGATTCTTTAAATTATTTTAAAATATGTATAACACATTGTTACTTATACATTCCTAAGATTAATATTAGTTTTTGATAGTACTAAGAAAGCATAATAAACAAGGTGCATTGGTAGACAATGTAACACTGTTTTATTCATGAACAATTTTTAAATGATTACATGGGCATATTGCGATGAACCGCATTAAAACACGGCAAGCAATAATAAGGGTTACTAGTACAATCTCCACAGAATGTGGTTACTTTTTTTGTGCGATTTTTTGCAAATTCTCGACCAAATTTCTTCACATTTTCTTCATAGCATTTTTTGCATTGTCGTCTAGTTTGTCGTGCGCTTCCATCTTTGCTTTGTATTTCGTGGCGCTTATAAGAAGTGGGGTCATAAGTGACGTGAACGGAAAGTCTATATAAATATGCATTGCAATGAATATGTTAAACAAATATACTTACGATCGATATTTGATCTTCATCAATACTTCCTTGAGATTCAGTACTAGTATTAACAGGTCTTCTTAGACTTTCGCTACCTTCTTGTGAAACTATCAACGGTTCTGGTTTTACAATATTAGTGGCAACTAAAGTGATTTCATTCATTTCTTCTGGTTTCTCACCAGATCCAGATGTTGATCCTGTCGATGATTTTCTTAATCTCTTTCTGCGAAAGGATGGTGATAATGGAGAAGGGCTAGGTGAACAAGATTCCCCACGATCTCCTCCTCCAGGTTCACTACTACCACTTGGCCACTTGGTTAAAGAAGCAGTGTGCATTTCTGCAAGTCCTTTTATTTTTAAACTCTCTGCAGTCTATAAAAAAAAAATGCAAGGAAAATTATACCAAATTGCATTATTACTACTGTAATAAATATAAATGATACCAAAATAAATTCTAAAGTGTTTCAAAATACCTTTATGATAGATGGTAACTGATCCTGTGATATGTTTACTTCACCATAGTACATAAAGTCAACCATGATTTTTAAGTCAGAGAATTTTACATCCTTTAATATGACGATTGGATGTTGACACGGATTTACAGTAAACAATGACTGAAAATATGTGCTGCATGCAGACAAAACAACTTTGTGTGCTTGAAGGTGTCTGCCTTCAGCAGCTAATGTCACATCCACCAAAGTCTCATTGTTCAACAAATTTGAAAACACCGAAATGAAATTTGGTTGATGATTGTTCCACCGTAAACAGAACTGTTGCATCGACATCACAGCAAATAGTCGAATAACTTCCGAACACTGTAACTATATCTGTAAAATCATTGTTCTCTTATTTACCCATAATGAAATATATAAATGTGAAATAATACCCATATCATATATCATTAACAAAATTCATTTCACGAGATTTCCAAAAATAAACGGCAAACAATGTTGAATAAATTTCTATCATCCTCCACAAAGATAAAAACAAAGAAAACAAGAAGCTTGCGATAAATAAAATTATTGATGAAAGTTCATGTCAGTAATTATAAACATCAAACCGTCGTCAAAATGTATAATTTCCTTTACGTGGAACACAAAATTATTAAATAACTCATGATGAAAATACAATTTATCTGCTATCGTAATTTAACTGAAACAAGCCACTCGATGACGACAAAAACTCGAATCGAATTTATCAACTTATGTCGCGGGGAAGCGAGTTGTCATTTCTAAAAAAAAACGTAGAAACTACTCGTGCAACTGTTGAAATTTGTCGCAAATGATTTTTTAAGAAGGTAAAACAAAAGAAAGACAGCTCAACAATACGGTTACAATCGCTTAACACACAACAAATAGATATAGATTCGTGAGGATCGCGATAAAAGGCAGACAGAGCGAAATTGCTCACTTTCAGTCCGAACAAGGATTCCTCGACGATAATATCGTGGTTAACAGGGTATCCGCTGGTGAACACGATGCACTCCGATATCGAGATTGTTTTCGGTGTTTATTAGGAAAAACAGTGTTCACTCGACGCTGCCATATATTCGACGAAATTTTCCACAACAGACTGAGCGGTGACGCTTGTGTAATTCACAAATGACGTCATAGGCGAAAAATTAAGATACCACGTATGGCGGGCGGTAAACTCCACAAAAATCACACCGACAGATATGTTGATATCGTGAGTAAATTTCTCATACAATCGACAAATACTGAGATCTTATCAACGTGCGTCCTTAGAAAATCTAACTTGATCAATATAGCAGCCGACTCAGAGTGACATCTATCGACGATCTGTCAAAAACTACGTTTCTTGCATCTTTTGAAATATTTTTTCTTCTTTTTCTCCCTTTTTTAAGAATTGTACATTTTTGAATGATGATAAGACAGTATGTACGATTATGAAGATACAAGTTTTTATGGGCGTTTAAACTTTTATTTCGGAGCGATTCGAAGTTTTTTAATCTTGGAAAAATTCGAGTAGCTTCGAACATAATTCGATGAAATTCTTGAATTTTTAAGTTTTGAGTGCGTGACTCTAGGAAATCATAGATTATTTATAAGTAACGTGTTTTAAATAATAAGTATAATATAAGGGACTACACGTATAAGATATAGAAAATAAGATATAAGAAATTATATGTAGACTGCGGATTTTTATGCATTTATGCGAAATTTGAAATTACAAAAATGTACAAAATGCATGTAATATTCAAAAACATAAAAAACATTAAAAGTGAAGTGACTTGTTATAATATTTAACAGATCAAATATATTTTTACGTAGATTACATTTCCGTACTTATGTTAATAAAAATATGAACTTGCATAAAAATCCGCAGTTCCATGACGAAGTCTCAAGACTACAAGATTGAATTTTTTTAGAAAAATTCGAAATATTAAATTATGTTCGAAGTAATTCGTATTTTTCGTCACATATAAGTCAATATTCGAAACAATTCGACATGTCTCAAAAAGCGAATAAAATTATTTTTGGGGTTATAGATAGCGTGCAATTGAAACAATCCGTAGTTTATTGAAATTATAAGTATTTTACTCCATTACTATATAAACACGTTCGATAATATACAATGAAAAAACCTTTGGTTTTTTCTACATAATGTGACGAAAATGCTGCTATAGTTAATATAAATTAAATAAATAAAAAAAGATTGTTTAATCCACATCAGAGAATAATAGACATGATACTTTGCTAACTAATAGTCACCAACATTTTGTACGTATATCTATAAGTGTATACAGAACAATTCAGAATTTACAGATCTCCATTGCAGCAACAGTGAAGCGTATTATATTAATTGTTACCGTTTAACACATATATTCTCTCTCTCTCTCTCTCTCTCTCTCGCCATTTTACAGAGAAATTCATGCGCTTCTTTTGCAAATCGTATTCGTTGTATTCTAGATTGAAACAAAGAGAGAAAACGACAGAACAACCGAGATTTAAATATGTATATCGTCGGTTTGCCAGAAGGTTGATATACTTAAAAAATTGTTACTTCTATAATGAAAAAATTAGTTCTATAGAAAAAATTTATTTATTAAGATGAAAATATACTATTTAATAAGAATAACATACTTTAAAATAATATTTTAATCCTTTTTTTAGTAGTAAATAATATACACAAATAATATATACCCAGAACGTAAAACCTTTCTTGTAATTTATTATCTATAGGTGCTAAACGTAAATGGAAGAATGCAGGGAGGGAAGAAGTTGCATAATTGTATAAACATATAGAAGCACAAACTGCTAAAATTACAGAATTGTGTACTATACAATTGGGTACTAACAATGAAATGAGCTCAAGGTTGCAAAAGATAGAATGTGGACTTGAGATAATGCAACATTACACAAACTCAGAATATTTCAAATGCGATATAGAGAATCAGTAGCCAAAACAAGAGAACTTAGCTGGCAAAACGTCCAGGGTGATGAAACTAGAAGAAATAGTTACACACGAGCATAATCAATTAGTTGAAGTTAGCCCAAAATTGAATTTAGGAAATACCAAAACTACAGATTTGGAGATTAAGCTAATAAATGAACAAGATTCCAAACACTGCCGTTAATTATAAAACGATTTCATTGTTAAACAGTTAAGTAATTAATAATTTCCAATTTGAAACCTATATTAGATTTCCTGAAAAATATATTATTGTCAATTGCAATTTTTAATGGGAAACTTTTTATATAAAACATATTGCTTGAAAAATATAATATTTTCAATTGTATTACTCTCCTAGCAAACCAACTGAATATAATTATAACATATATATGTGTGTGTGTGTGTGTGTACATACGTATACTGAGGTATATTGCATCATCGATAAATATGAAAATTGATAGAAAGAAAGGTGCGTGTAGGTTCAAGATCCATGTTTTCGCTAATCATTCAAGGAGCTGAAAATTAGAATTTCATTCGAATCGTCAGATAAACGATTCGCGTTACAAGAACAAGAATTTCCAGTTTTTAAGCCCTCCTAACTCGCGAATGGACCCTTGATTTGGGGTTATACTTATTGGTACCTAATAATCTCATTTCATATAATCAGATTTTATATAACAATTTGATATCTTAAATTTTGAATTGAATATCTATAAATTTGTTTTTATTCCTCGATCGTTTTCTGGCCCTATAATCTTGGGATTATAATACATTTGTTTTTGCATCAGTTGATTCACAAAAAGGAAAATTTCATTATGCGATGTTAATATGATATGCATCGCTTGATCATTTTTAATTAATTAGTCAGATAGTTTTAATTAAATTAGTCGGATATACAACACCAAACAAGGAATATACAAATCATTGTGCGTTGATTGTGATGCGCTTCATCAAATCAGACACGCTTTTAAGAATTTTATTGAAACGTTGATTACGTAATATAGCCGTAAGATAGCCGTCACACAGATATAAAATTACGAAAAAAATTATAATATTACTTTTATAGTATCATTATGGAAAAGCCAACCACAATAAAAAAATATTATATTATTCCGAAATATATGATTCGATATTTAGAAAAAATTTCCCTTGCAACGAAGTATAATACTGTAAAAATACTGTGCAAAAAATTGAACACTCACGAAGAGAATTATATCCGTAGAGAATTGAAATGCAGGAAAAGTGTGCAAAATATCAAGTACCAGAGAAATTTTTTGTCGTATTAAATAAGAAAAAGATTTATGCATCTGCCTTATTGTTAATAAAATTTAATAATCGAAATATTTCGTTTGAGAATTAATTTTTAACCCTTGTTTATATCTAAAGGTTACTGGGGATAGGCAAATGAAAGAATTTTAAATCGCGACGATGCTTTTTCATCTGAAAAATTATCTTGAGGATAAAAATGATCACAGATGCATAAATATCTTTCGCTCATTCGAAATGTTTCAGTTCACTAGGCTTTCACTGCTAGGCCGTGGTTTAGTGACCAAGCTCTGTAAGGCTCTTATCTCGTTTTCAGTAAGGTTTGGAGGTCCGAACAGAAACTCCCTACGAGAATTTGGATTTGATAGAAGGTCCTGCATATTCTCGTTAGTTAGCACCAAGTAATGCAGAGAGGTTTGTGTTAAATTTACTTTCCTAGCTAACGTCCCGGTAATATGAACATCATCGATCCAGAAATATGGCTCTTTCTGTGCCTCACGATACAAAAGAAATACGCTATCGGGAGAGTAGAGTATAGCCCATCCGGCACAATACGCAGGATAGTGTCTGCCAGGATATTCTCGAGGGGAGACTCTCCATTTGGAACGCCAGGATCTCTTCACGGTACCCGTGGGTAGAAGATCGCACAGGATCAATCGTCTGGCTCCCCATGGCGATAAATCACGCGTCAAGAAATCCAGCATGGCAGGTATATGAACAAAAACATCATCGTCTAATTTTAATATATATTTGGCACCTGAAACGGTAAAGAAAAGGAACATCTTTCAGAAAATTCACATTTATAAAGAATATATCTCCGTAATAAATTCATATTTATCAAAGAAATTTACAATTATAGATTTGCCCATTGTTCCATCATATTTGATAATATTGAGAAATCTTTCTTAAGAATACCTGATAATAAACATACGTTTATCATCGGCTATGAAAGAATTAACGAAATATCATCTGGCAATAAAAGAAAAGAATTCGGCTATATTTAATGGATTAAAGAATTATTCAAAATATCACACAAAAACTTACTTGGACAATGATACGTAGCCCACTTCAATGCCATCACATGCTTGTAAGTCATGTTTCTGTAGGCATCGAGAAAGTTGCCTTGTATCAAATCTTTGAATTTTCTATTCTCCTCTTCCAGCATCGTCTGATATTCATCAGACGAG